GGTAGTGTTCGCCCGTGACGTAAAAGATGCCCCGGTAATGTTAGTAAATAATTCGATAAATCGAGATAAGTAAGAACGTTTTAGCGACTCGACCTTTATATACGAGACATATGGCTCCGGGGGGAATGTATCGACTGCGTAACCGGTACTATTGGCCGCGTAACGGGGTACAAGAGAAACGAATTTCGCCGTCTTTAATTATTTATTTTCACGGTAATTGGTCTACTTCCTCCATTTCTTTTACGTTATAGAATTTTAAAACGGCTTGGATTCTCTCCCCTTAAGGGGATTCGAACCCCCAAATCCACGCGCTTTTGGCGTAATAAGCAATCAAGCTCCAACCTCGGGGAATTAAAACAGGGGATTTTTAATCGAAATCTGTAGCGGTGAGTCATAAAAATGGCTATATTTACCGCCATCGATTAAAACGGACACGGCTTATTAAGTCACGTTATTAACGTAACGTAGCAAAATAAGCCTTAAAAATTAATTTCGAACACGAATTTTTACACTTGAACGGCATCCAAGCCCAATTTAAACTCGATATAAATTAATTTTAAAGGGAAAAATTAATTTATTAACAAGAGAAGATACCCTCCTCGCCCCGTTCGTTATTTAAACGATTAAGATTAGAAAGTGTACATAGGCGATTCCGTCTGCAATAAATGCCCTATAATCTTTTCCATTATCGCTTAAGAAAATAGAAAATATATCGAAATTTCAATGACCGAAAGGTTACTGATATTCAACGGGGTGTATTTTTCGCGTGCCCTTTTTTTCCGGGAAGGAATCGATGTGTTTAAAAAAAAACCCCAAGCGTCCCTCATTGTAGAACTTATACACAAGTAGGACACGAGAGATAAATACATCGATACGTTACGACACGCTAGTCACGTTCGACGCATTCCTCGAACCTCGATATACCGCCAATGAATACAGTCAAACGTATCCTGCTTATAGAATATTACACAACCCTTCGATACCCGTGTAAAACTAACGTATTCCGCATTGCTAACGACATTATGGCACTCGTACGATTCTTATTATTCCTCCAGTTTAGCGCTCGGCTCGATTTATTGCCAATTTCGGCGTTAAATCGAAGTTTTAAAAACTCTTCCGTTCCGAAAACGAACACTTAAAACCCGATAAAACGAAGGTAAAAGGTGAATCGGAGGTTTACCGCAGAGAAAAGTCAGGAGTTTATCGAAGGGAGACAAATAAAAAGAGTGTAGTCGCACCTGGCAACGTCGGGTGCCGTCTTTTCTGGCAACCTGCCAAAACGAACCCCTCTCCCTCTTATCAGACAAAGACGCTCCGCTTATCGAACGCCCAACTTTTAAAGGGGAGGTTTTTCTCTTAAGGCAGAATACACCGGATTTTTACCTTCGAAAAAAAAATAATAATAATAATAATCCGGACGCGTAAACTACGGCGGATTTGACGCGGAGAACTTCCGGTGACGTACGAGATTTCCCATCGATCCCGACGGCCGACGAGAGGTGTAATAATAATAATAATATAAAAAATACGTCACGTATTTAATTATTTTATGGGTGGCGTAAAAAGTAGACCGCTCGTCTATCCACTTCCGTTTACTCGCTAATCCGATAAGAGCGAAAATTCGTTACCGGTTAGCAACTACCGGCGATAATCGCCTCAACGTCGCATTTTTAACACAGGAAAACAAAGAGTGGCATTCGATTATCCGTTCGCGACGATCCTCTTCCCCCGTTACTTTCCTCCGCGCTCGGAAGTGAAGGAGCGGAAGACGGAGGGGGGCAACCTCCCGATTTACCGGGAAATTCTCGATTTTTCGGCCTTCGAACGACGCCAGAAAGGAAAGTTTAAAACTACGCGCTTATTTAACGCTAGTGTGGCGGAAAGGACTTTGTATCCTTTGATCGCCCCCTTCGTTAAAATACTAGAGTAGTTTGTTATCGAAAACAAAACTCGAGGGGGGTATTCGAGATTTGGAAAAGAATTCGGATAGTTCTCTTTATAAAGCTCGGAATTATTAAGTTTAAAACATTTGTCATCGTTACCGTTTTCTTCCGTGTCTTTGAATACAGTTAATTATGGTGTTTGATTTAATTGTTACGTAGTAATTTGCTTCCATTACGACTTTAGAGCTGTGTTATTTTTAATAATTCTAAAACTGTTGGTATAAGAGGAATGAATTGTTATTAATTAAACTAAAAGGACTTATGGTTTTATTTGTTGTTTTTTTTTTCTTCTAAGATACTCGAGAAAGGCCTACTTGACCATAGAAAATAAATAAATAAATAACATTTCCGTATTAGTAATTAGTTAACAACTAACAAATAAACCAGGCACGCGCTCCCCGGAATCTTTTCGACTCTCGACATTCCCAGAAGGGGGACAACTTCTCGGCTCCGGGAATAAGTGACCGTTTCCGTTTTAAAAGAATTGGGAAAGGATCCGAAGCCGGCGTGGCGGGACGTTCCTAACCCACCAATGGCATTTAGTTTTATTTCCGGGAGGACTTTTTATAAGCCCCTTATTTAGGTGTTACTAACGTGAAGAAAACCCGGAATACTCCGCGTGGCCGGTGTTTTCCGGGTTGTCTTCACGTTAGTAACACGTAAATAGGGGGCCAGTTTCCTATAAAAGTAAAAAAAAAAAGTCCTCCCGGGAGGCAACCCCTCGGCAGATCGCCCGCGCGTCGCGCTGCAATAACCTAATAAATTAATCGGGACGGTGCGAAAGGTCCGAGACTTGCGCCTACGAAACGAACCGTGGTCTTTCCGGTTTCGACGGTCGAAAAAAAAAAAAGACCCGTCGGAAAGTGTCTCGTAAATAACGAGAAATAAAAGAGATCGGCATTTTATTATTGGAATAAATCTCCGGTTATTTACGTCGGCGGGGCGAAAGCCAGCGCGCGGAGGAATGCGCCGGGAGTCGGAAATCGAAGCGGAAGCGCCACGCGGGTCACCTTTACGCGTATTTTTCAAATTTAACTTTCATTACGAATCGTAAATATTTATTAAACCGATAAAGGAGGGTTAAACCGCCAACGCCGACCTCCGAATGGCAATTTCCAGAAAGGGTGACGACGGAGAAAGAACGAGTCTTTAAATTAACGCGCGAAGAAAATTCCGGTGCGCAAGTTTAATGGGCGCTTTTAAGGGAGCATTCCGTAATCGGATGGGTCCGAGAGTTTCCGAATGGAGTGGAAATATCCGTTTCCGGTCGGATTTCTCTCTCTCTCTCCGACTACCGGAAGAAGAAAACTTTGGCAGAGGCACGGGACGGAGGAAGGGAAAGCCGCGTCGGCAGTTTTCGACCGGAAGAGGCGATTAAATCCTAGATGAGAGACGGAAAAGTGGAGAAGGAAGGTTGGACGAGGGGGAGTCGCCCGGGTTTTCCATGCCCGCGCTCGATTCTCACCCGTTACTTTATGCTTTAGTCGGGAATTCCGATTAATCGAATTTCCTCGGTGCGCGACGCGTCGGCGCTTTATTTACTTATACCGGAAGGTAAGAAGCGCGTCGGGAACGGGCGTCGCCCACCGTCGACGGGGAACGGTGAAGAAAATCGATCGGTTGGGGGAAAGATACCGCCGGGTACAAATTCCGGTGTCCGTCGGTCGGTCGAGACGTCGGATTTCAATTTTTTCCGCAATTGTTCCGGCGCTTCGGCCCGCTCCGAGAACGAGGAAGGAGAATTACCCGGGCGGAGGGGGAGGGTCCCGCGAGAATTCGGACGGGACGAGAAGAGGAGAAGAATCCTCCTGGCGACGAGAGACACCACTTCCGCCCCGTCGGACGGGCCAAAGGAGCGGAATTTCCGGGCTAAGAAGCTAACCGGTGAAATTTCGCGGCGAAAATAGGAACCGCATCCCGTAATAGGACGGGTGATCCTTCGTCCCTTCTCTCCGTCAGCCGGAGAAAACTCTTCCCGGGAAGCTACGTTCATCTTCGGAGAGTCTTCCCTTCTCCGAAAGAGTCTTCTTCTCTCTGAAAGCGGAATGACCTCTGCCGTTGGCTCGACGTTCCCGCGGAGAGGGACGAGAAGGTCCCTTCCCTGGCGACGGGGAAGGAGGCCGCGAGACGCTCCTTCCACCGACTCCGTTAATTAGACGCTCCTCCGTTCCCGGTGGCGCGTGCTAATTAATTTTGTCGGGATCCCTGCGGCGCTCCGGATGGCGGGAGAAAGGTGGAAGAGCCGCCCGGTCCGCCCGAAAATCTCCACTTCCCTCCGGGTCGAAGGTAGATCGTCCGAAAACGGGAATTCCCCCTCCCCGGGCCGCGAAGGTCGACTTCTATCTCGGCCCCGCGGGCGGAGGGAAAGGGCGCCGCCCGCCTGAAAGGTCCGAGTGGCTCCTTTCCGGGGTGGCCCCCGGCGTTCGGAGAGACGGAGGAGGCGCCGTCGCGTAGCTAGGGTGGACGGGCGGGGGGCTGGGGCGAAAAATCCGCGGCCGGAGGCGGAGAGCGTCTTTCTTAACGAGCCCGCGAATGGCGCGTCGTCCCGGACTTCCGTCCAATGTGGCCGGGGGGAACGGGAGCCGAGGTCGGAATCCTGGGCCCGAAGTCGGAGGGCCCCGACCGCCACCGACCGGAGAGGAATGCCTCCACCTTCCTTTCCCTCCGCCGTCCTCCCCGGACGGGTTTCGCGACGCCTCCGCGCGCCCGTCTCCGCTTCCGATTTCTTTGTTTGGAACGGAGCGGCGGAGCGCCTCTCGCGCTTTCTTCCCTCCCGGCGCCGCGCGTCGGATGGAGATTTCGGCAGCGTCGTCGTCTTCCGTCGGCAGAGAAGGGTCGACCATCCGACATTTGGGAGAAAGCGCGCGCCGTGCCCGCTCGGGGCGCTAATTACCGTCGACGACGGAAAGCGTGCCGTGGCGCGGGGAGGGGAATGATCGGAGGGCACCGCCACCGCTCGTGCCGTAAATATTTATGGCGGCGGAAGGGCACCGACGCCGGACGTCGGCGGGGAAGAAGAGGCCGTGCTTTTTCTATCCGGATATTCGAGAGTCTCACCTTTGGAAGACGAGGCGCCGGTCCACAGCGCGATCCAGTAAACGAAGGCCGGTAGACGCGTCGAAGACGTCTTCATGTCTTCCGGTGATATCCGGGCGTCGAACGTCGACCCGATACGCACGAATAAACGAAAACGTATTCGACTCGGACCACCATCACACGCCCGTCTCTTCCCTTCGGCCGCAGACGACCTCCATGACTCTAACTTCGCATTCCGCCGTCAGGGGGACGGCGTCGCGGGTCGGTCGCGCCCTCCGACCAATGGCGCCCGTCACTCCTTCGAGTCACGTGAGCGCCGGAGGGCCAACCCCGGACGGCCGTTTTAAAAGTGCGCGAATTTCCGGAGCGCGTGGTTGGGTAGATCGAGACCCGGACGCTTTATTTCGGCCTCCCTTTCTTTTCTCGCTTCTCGCTAATTTCCTCCGTCCGGTCCGAGAATTCCCGAAATCGCAATGGAAAACGGGATTTTTCCCCGTCCGTTAGCGCGGTGTTTCTCCTTCCGGGAACTTTCCCCCTCAAATTAAACATCGGTCCGTAAACCAGCGGGAAACGGGTTCCGACTTCGAGTGAGAAAGACCCCGATGTAACGTAGCCGCGCGAGAAATCGGGGAAGAGGTTTCCGGTTCCTCCTCCCAGAAGTCGGTGTCTGTGACTAGAGTACTGTATATATTTTGAAGCATTGATTCATAACCCGGATTTAGATGCGTCGGGTGTTGAGTTAACTCCATTTATTTCTCGGAAATGGCTTTATATAGAATTTGGTGACGGTCCAAATCTTTTCTTTCCCGTGTTTTATATTTAATAATTTCCAATACACGTACCCGTTAATCCTTCCGCCCCTCCTCTTGCGTATAAAGATTATTCCGCTGAAATTAGATAAGGACCGGCGGTTTACGTATTTTTAACCATGGGTGGTAGCCGTGGCACCCGTACAAAATTCGGATACCAGACCTCCGCTATCCGATTAACCGTAAAATCTGTTTTCGCGGTTCCTCGTTTCCCAAAGATTTAGGCTACTCCATAAACTTTCCTAAGTACCGAGTGCCCGGTACAGTCATTTTTGTGTGTGGGGCACTCACCACACCTCGAGTAGAAGAATTCATATAAAATATATAGGACCAGCAGCATTTTTTCTTAATAACGATCTTTCGCCCAACACCGAGGGTGCGCGTAATACACTTCGAGAACGCGCTACGCCACGAAAATCGTCGTTAACTCGATTTTACCCGGTGGGGCGGCCACCTCTCTTAATTTACTTCCACCCCGCATTTCGCGTAAATTATTTGTCGTCAGGAGTCGTCGGCAAATTTTCTCCCTTATAGCTCGGTGGGGTTCAGGCTAATTTGAATTGGGGGGACCCAGCGTACGGTATCGACTTCGTACATTTGGGGAGAGAATATTTTCTTATAAAAGATGGGTTTGGGGCTTCGGGAAATTGCCCATTTTTGCCCGTGTAATGCCGCTGTTTCCCGTTCTTCACCCAGTAACGTGATTAAAGACAATTAAGTTCTAGAAACAGACGAGTTTCCCGATGAATTCTTTACTCCTTTGTTATTAGAAAACGTCACCTCGGCGGTATCATCGGCGATAACACGTGGAAAAAAATATAACCCGGCGTGGATAAGTACCGTTTTCGTACGAGAATTTCAATAGCGAGGTTGCGGCCGAAGTTTTCATCTCTAAAACGTGAACGTCGAACGTCGAGCGACACTTACAAGAAGCGGCGCTCGACGTTCGACGTTCACGTTTTAGAGATGAAAACTTCGGCCGCGACCTGGCTATTAATAATTAATATTAAAAATTACGCGCAAGGATAAAATGTAGTGAAAACTTTCCACACACAAGCATTTAATAAATGGCGTGTAACTCGTGCAAAGATTATAAATACAGGAGCGTGGTTTTTCCCAAACTCCTCCATTCTGTTTGTCTTTCCCAAAGAAAGAAAAAAAAAGAAGTTTCCCCCAGGCAAAAGAAAGGTTAATTAAATCACAAACGGCATTGTTTACGGAGGTAAAGATCGATAATATATTTAATAAATTAAATAGAAATGCCTTATTTTTTTAATAAAAGGGGTATTTCGAGTTAACGCCGTTCAAATCTACTCATCCCCGTTTATAATAAAAGCGAATTTCTGTTATTTATAACGACGTCTAATTTTTATTAACGGGTGTACGATTAATTTTTACCCGTTTATTACGCCAATAACAGCGAAAACGGGAGAGGGGGGAAGGGCGGAATACTTTGAAGGCGAACAGACACCGAAATTTGTTTTGGCCACTGTTAATTGGCCGAGTCACGCGGAAACGGGTCTTGTTTTCGGTTTTAATCCGCCACGTAACCGGGTTTATAATTAACTTATTCGGCGGCGTTACGCACGTTTTAATTAATTAAAGGCAGTATATCGAGGTCGAGTCTTTATAGTTACGGCTTAATACGTCAGCGCGCCGCTCTCTACCGCGATAAATCACTACGGTGGCGTGGATTCTTATACCTAATTCTTCCCGAATTTTAAATTCGTTCGACGTGCCTCCATCTGTCGGCAAGATTTTCGATTTTTTAGCCGAAAAAAAAAATATAATTACCGCAACCGTCCCTCCACGATATATAAAGTAACCCGAACGCGTTACGCACGAATATACGGGCTACGCGAAGGACCAGCGGGATAATTATAAAGTTTTTATTCCGTTGTCGGATTAGGAAATCGGAGGGCGTACTTTATCGGAGTGGTGTGAGGGAGGAAGGGGGCGATCGTGAGAAGAATGGTAAGAAACGTGAGTGGAGGAAGAGAGAAAGCCGGGACGACGTTAATGCTTAACTTAGTCCGCTTTTAAATAACTGAAGCGGTATTGTGAATAATACAAAGCGGGCGCTTGGTCCACCCCGGAAAATATCCGTCGCCTTTTGAAACATTCAATGGCCGCTTCCGACTAGATCAATATTTCCGTTAGAACCGAAGCCGTCTCGTCTTATGTTACGTCACAAGATAGATTTTTATTTGCACTCTCTTCTATAATGACGATTTTCCTCTCGTTACTACCTATTACTCTAATGCTTTCGTGTCTGGCTACTCTCTCTCTCTCTCTCTCTCCCCCCCGTATATTTTAATGTTCTTCTCTACCTATTCCCCCCTTTTTATTTATTTATTTCTTCCCTTTAAATATTTAAAATTCCGTAAATTTACTTTTTTCGGTTCCTCCGCTCGTCTCCGGTTTGTGTCGAAAGTATTGCTTATATTATCTCTGTCTACGTACAGTACGTCACAATAGTCGGAGAGAGGATAATTACGGCCACCACCGGATTTTAATTAAAGGAGGTGGCCCGGAAAAACTTGTAAATCGACTTATTATTTCCTTATTTAAAATGTAAGGAGAGTGTTATTAATGTATTATTATTATTTATACGCGTGTATTTACCTTCCTCGTTAGTACCTTCCTTCCATTTTGCGAGTTCGGTGGTAAACTGGTAAAGCCTTTAGTAAATAGTGAGGTAAATAAAGAATTGCGCGCTTAATATCTACGCTAATTATTAAGGCGCGTAGACGGGGAGAGGTTATCGCCGGATTAAAGGCATTAGACAGGTAAATTTATTCGCGAAACGGAAGGGTTTACGGCGCGTAGAGTAAGTTTAGCGGCGCATAAATTGGCTTAACGATGTACGCGCTGACGAATTTAGAAAGAATTCCTATCGTTTCCTTCCTTGGAAATTGGATATAAAATGTTTTCCAACGTTAATCGAAGTCGTTAGTTATCTGGAGATGTGGAAGTCGAAGGAAAGGCAATAAAATAAGAGAGAAGGTTCTTTAACTAGTTTGTTAGAAATACAATCTAGAAAACAGCAACTGCCGTATCGATTTTCAATTCTGTGGTTTTACGACATTTTGTGGCATTTGCCACACCTCGTAGCCCACCTCGCTACACGGATCGAGTCGTATCGAGCGCAAAATAAAACTTCTTTATAAAAATGTCTATCCCTCTATCGATTATAAACTTTTATTATCCGGTTTTGATAAAGATCTACATTTATTTACATTCCTTCATTACGATTATTAAAGCGGCCGGTAGTACGGTATATTGTGCTTTTGACACAAGTAGTAGTCTACTTACGCGTAAATCGAGAGTGTCCCCCACCACTACAATGTCGTCTTTCTGTATAAAGTAGTATATTTTTAAAAGAAATTCGCACGTGTTGGATAAAAGGTAGGCTATACATAAAGGTGATATAAGTAGAAGGGAGCGAATAAGCCGAAATAAGAAATAAATAAATAAATTCGAAGCCAAACTTGTTAATACTTATTTATATAGAAGAAAACAAGAAAAATTCCATTTTAAAGATAAATAAAGGAGTATAAAATATTGTTTGAGGAAGGACTTGTTTGAAATTATTCCTACCTAGACGTATACATATTTTAGTGGAAGACCATCAATTGTCAAAAAATCTAATGGCTGGCATTCGGCACAAGTTACTTCTAGGAATTCTGACAGAACAGCAACTTCTCTTCTACTCTTTCTTTTTCTACAGGGGAAAAGAAATATGGAGTCTCCGGTCTTAAGTTGAGAGCTGGCTGCAATTCCAAAGAAATATTACCTAACTTTCAGGGAAAAGATGTCACGTGAAAAATTCGACTAATTCGTCAGAAGGCATTTTATTTGTTTACTTATTTCTGGACAATTTTTCCGCTTCCGTTTGTTTCCAATTAAATTTTAATAGGCTAAAGACCATCTTAAACCGGCATTCTCCTACGGGGAAATTAATAAAGCGAATTGGAAATTCCGGAAAAAATATATATATATATATAGGCTGTATATTAGCGAACGAGGCGGCAAACAAACGGATTTTTCTTTAATAAGAATAGAAAATAATTAACTTCCGACAATCAAAATAATCCAAACATTAAGTTAAATAACACAAAAAGAAATAGGAAATTAAAAAACAAAATGAAGAGGGATGCCAGATGTTTTCTTTGAAAATTTATAAAATTAGATTTTAAAAACCGCAGCCCGGTCGAATTCTTTTCCGCAATTTAATTGACTAAATTTAATTTAGTCGCCGCGCTCGATAAATTAAGAGTGAGAAGAATTCGTCTCTCAACGTTAAACAGAGAGAAAAGCGAAGAAAAGAAAACACGGAAATGTATTTTAACACGTGAATATTCCGAGTCGGAATAACCCGGAAGAACCAACCAAGTGTCATTCCGTTTCCGCAATTTTTCTACATTATTATCTGCAAGTGTAGAAGCCAATTTGGTAAAGTAAAACGGCAGCATTTTCCTGGAAAAAAAAAACTAACTTTATGTGTATAATTATGTACTGTATACGTCTGTAGGGTTATTAATTAACCAAACCTTTACGGCACAATACAAAGGGGTTAATTTGAATTAGGGGTCTACCGCGTGCGGTGTCGATTTAGGACACGTTTCTTCGGGGGGGAATAATTTCTTATCGATTTGGATCCTCTGTTAGCGGGAACCTCGGATAATGTTGCCCTTTTTGTCGGTAGGTTTGTTTGTTTAGTTACGGCAACGAAACACTTGGGCGATCTGCCTTCCGGGAGGTCTTTTTAAGGGAAACTGACTCCTATTTAGGCGTTGTAGATGCGGAGAAAACCCGGAAAACTCCACGTGGTCAACCCGTCCGAGCGAGGAGAGAACCCACGACCAGAACTCCCAGTGTTAGGCCACCGGTGGGCCCTTTTGCCCGTAGGACAACTCGCCACTGATTTTCGTAGTGAAGAATGTGTTTTTACTTTTAAATAGAAGGGAAGATTTCCCATCGAAGAAAGTTCGGCGCATTCGTAATTATTTATCAAAAAAGGAGGATAAAATTGAATTTTGACTACGAAATAGAAAAATTGAAAGACGTTTGCGTGTTTCAATTTTTTTTTTTACATTTCGTAGTCGGAATCGCGGTTCGGGTTCCTTTTAAAGGGGCGATTTTCCGAGCAATACTTTACGGGAATGTCATTTTATCTCGTAGCTAAGAGCGGGAATTTAGTTTCCGAGGAAATAAAAATGCGAATATTCCAGTTTTTTTTTCGTTTTTATTGGAATAAAAGTGAAAGCGAACAAAGCTAAAAGTGGCTTTTTTCGAATTTAGAACCGTCGAATTATTTTAGTGACGGCCCAAAAATAAAATAAAAACTCCACGACTCTTCCCTCTTTCCGGGAAGAAAGTGTTGGTGTAACGAATTGTATCCGTAACGAATTGTATCCGTAATATGCCCGGTCCTTTTTAAGTTTATCCACTTTTAAATCTTATTATCTAAACTTTAAAGTGTAGTAATTGGATCGAGCGTAAACATTCGTACTCTAAATTCGGAAATAAATATAAATTATCACGGCTCTTTCGTGATATATCCGAATCGGGGTAGCGGCTTTTTCAATAATAAATAATAGAAGAGCCAAACTGTATAGTTTTTTTTAACTATTTCGACCCCGTGGATACTTAAAAGGGCTTTTGTATTGGGTTCGGCCGGATCTCGCGTGTCAAAATGGGCCATCCCCCGAAAATTTCCTGGGATTTTGGAAAGAAAAGGGTGGAAAAGAAAAGAAAAGACAATTGCCTGGGTCCCCCCAAACAGGGAGCCCCGAGTCAACGTTTTATAAGAAGATATTTCCCCCAAAAAGTTCTCCCGAAGAAAAATTCACTATGCAGTACGTGGGGCTCCTAATTCAAATTTGCCTGGGCCCCACGAAATTATAACGCCCCACTGTAGACACGCCGACCCTTAATATAATACAGAAAAGATGTAATTATGATCTATACAACAATTAAATGAGAAATTAGTAAAAATGAAATAAACATTTTGCCTTTTTTAATTCATTTATTAACCGAGAGCAATGCCGAAAACTATTGTTAAGTGGTTTCTTTTGTCTTTCTCTCCGAGACAGACTTTTAAGTAATAGGAATCGAGAGACTAAACTAAACAATAAAATTATACATAGATTAATTGATTAAATTAGAAAACAATTAGCAAAATTCATAAAGTGCGGTCGATACCCCCCGTACAAATAATTCACATTTCTGGCTATTTACATCGATTAATCGTCGCTCAAATGCGGGTATTACAGAAATCACGTGACACGACACGGCAAATGCCAGAAGATGGACGACTGATGATTAGGAGGAAATGGCAATCCATACATACGAATCAACACCGAATAAATGAGTTTCGATTCTTACTAATTTCAAGTTTCGCCATAGAAGAATGTAATACAATAGAATAAAATTAGAGTAAAAAAGAAATTCGATTGTTTTTATAAGTTATTCAGACAATTGAAAAAAGAAAAAGAGCCATTCTTTCCCGAATTTAGTCCAAGTTTTTGTAAAAAAGTGAGAAAGAATTGAGTTTCTTTTTCCCTTCTTTTCTTCTTGTTTACGAAAAGTTTAGAATCGATCCGATAGGCAACGGACGATATTTACATTGGGTTTTACCTCCCACGTCGCACAACGCTACGGCCGAAGATGGAAGACATAAATTTGGAAGAAGGAGACGGTGGCGAGGCTCATCTTGGCCATATTTAAACTTCTTTAATTCACTGGCGGAGGAAAATGGGCCGCATAATGGAAAGCGAAGAATTTTCCGGTAGGGAAATTTGCATGTAAATTCCGGGTATCGACCGGCGCATCCATTCTCTAAACAATCGATAGACGGGGGCGAATTGTAGTCCACGCGAGTAAATAATCAAACATTTACCGCTTGGCGTCTGCACACCACAAAAGATCAATGCGGTCGGCGCCATTAAAAGTTTTTCCCGGGGTCCTCTAATGGCGGAGAAGGTCGTTTGGCGGAAACGTCTCCCACATCTGGATGGAGATGGAGTAATGATGCAACTTCCGCCTTCATTCTATACTTCGGCAGTAGTAATAGTCGTGAGAAAATCCGGCATTAATGGTAAATCCAGCGTGGAAGAAGGATGCAAATGACGACCATTGGACGTCTCCAGAAAGGAAGCAACCAATAGCCGGATACTTTTTTGTACCGGTGGTACTCTAGGAATTAAAAGCGCCTCCGATCCGACACTTCTTCTACAATCTTCGCCTCCGAACGTCTTCCACTTTTATCGTTTATTAAACGATATCTCCCTTCTTTACCTGCAATTTTTTTTACAGTGACGTATGACTTTTAAGAGTAATGGATGGCCAAAGGATTTCCAGGTTGGCCGCTGAATATCCACGCAGCAACTACCGAATCTTTCTCTATCCCCCGTTATTTATTATCCGGATGCTGTTTACTCCCGACGCAAACCGGGATTATAATTCACGTTTTAATTGGGTAACGGCACAAAGCCAAGATTTATTATGTCCGACGCTTTTTTTTTTTTTCACCCTCCGCGAGAGACGACAGAAAGAAACCAAGAAGTGCCCTGTAATCTTACAACGGTCACGCCATCTTAGCCTGGCTAATGGAGAGTAGATTGATACTGCTGGATATTTGTCTAGTTTGCCAGTATGGCCGCCGCGGTGGCAAATTAATGACTGTCGGTTCTCTGCAGCGGATTTCTTCGAAGTTAAATGCTTTTTAAAATTGCTAAATTTTGCTTATCTTCCCACCTATTAAACGTTATAATATAATAGATTCGTAATTGTGGCGATAAACTTTATCGCTCGGTATTTTTATTCGGGGCAATCTAACTAACCGTAATTAATTACAATTATCAGATTAACCATTATGAAATGGTTTCCGATGCCCGTTTAAACCATTTAACGAGTACGGATAAAATACATAAGCTAATTTCGTAACATTAGTAACATTTAATGGGCCCGTTTAGAACGTATTATTAAAACCCTTCCGTAATTATCCGATTTGTATCGGTTTGTTCGAATAACAAAGACCAAACGAATTCGGCGGATAGACGTAGAAAATCGAATATAATTAACGAGGTTGAGGCCGAAGTTTTAAACTCGAAACGTGTACGTCGGACGTTCGGCGACGTTTTCCTGTAAGCCTAGAAGTTTGACAATGGCGTTTGAATCATGCTCGACATTCCAAACGCCTCAACCTCGCTATTAATTACGACGTTTATTCCCGACGTAATTTACATACGACAGAGAAGGAAATAAAGTATAAAACTAGACGTCGCCATTAACCAGACGTGTGAGAAAGCTACAGTAAATATGCATTTGTAAATAAAACTAGAGAAGTGTAAGTAACGTACAAAGTCCGAAGTAATGTATGAGTCGGGAGAATTCCTAAGGGATGAACACAATCAATGTAGACAAATTAATCTTGCAAGTCACATCGGGTTATTCGTGTTAAAACTGATTCCTTCACATCCACTTCAATTTCTTTCTAGAAATTTATCAACTTTATTTTTTTTTTATTCTCTCCTACTTCTTTTTTCCTATTTGGTACCAGGAAACGGACAAAAAATATCGAGTTATTTTTTTTTTCAATTTACTTTCTTGATGATTTTCTTAAGAGTCGAAAAACTTGGGTAATTATATTACAGCCATTAGACCTATATTATGCAATTGTAAAGCTTTAAAAGTCCATAAATCTACATTGATGTATCGGAGAAGAGTAGAAAAAGAAAAAAAAAAGTTTAATTTAGTAGTAACCGAAGATTAAATGATGGACTGTTTTTGGCACGAAACCAAAAAACATTAGAAGTTTGTGAGAGGAATTGCCGGTTTAGAAAAGAAAAGAAAAAGAAAAGTTCGTATACATGGTGGAAACATTTCTTTGCGCTTATCACTTCCGAAGCTTATAAAAGATTACGAGAAACTCTTGCGAGCAGGAGTTAAAGTAATTTCGAAAATACTTTATCTTTCGAACGTAGATTACAGATAAATTCTGTCTTGTCCGCCGATGCTATTCTTACCAATACTGTTGAGCTGGATGCAGAATCCCTGGAGACGAGTTCTCGATACGGTCAAACGCCTCGAAGGTAAAAGAAACACTTTGTATTTTCTGCTTGTCTAAGAATTTTTCTACGTAGTAAATTGGAGAAAACTTTTTCGACTCGACGTGTTTCCGGTAATATAGAAAAATGCCATAAATCGAGCGATTTTTTCGGTCAAAGCTCCGATTTTTATCGACTTTTCTGCGTGTTTTATTTTATTTTTTTCATCTCGGAGTGGATTGATGTAGAAGAAATATAGAAAAAAAAATACAAACATCAAACCGCATTAGATTTATTTAAGATTTATCAGAGCTTATAACTTTGTACTATTTTTTATCCATAAGTCACTTTTCCAAATAATCAAACAGCGAGGAAAAGAATTCTCTAGATTCATGAATTTCATGAAAGTTCAGCAGCATTCTGGGATGTATAGAGGCAGCGGCATCTATTTCTTGGCCCGCCGTTATCCATCATGTCACACCACCCAAGGGATTAAAAAGTAATATATGTCCACGTGACAAATGAAAGGCTGTTGGTGTTGCTACCCCCGCTGCCAATATGTGCAGCGGTAATGAGGCATACAACATTGACGTATTTGCTGCGAAGCTCGCATCAACGTCTCCCAGCTTTAAAGGTTAGACACGCTCGATAGTTCTCCTTCCATTCGCCTTTCCCGTACAACACGGTGAATTATACACGTGACACTGTTACTAGGGAATTAACACTCCGTTAAAGCATTTATCGGATGCATTTTTTTAAAATCTTGTCGGCAGTTTATTATATTTCGTACACAACTTTTTCCTTTTATAAACTATACAACGACCTCTTCGATCACCACGTGAACTTAGTCCGGTGGTCTTTGAACTATCGAAATAGTATATAGAAATTTAACGAATCTCTTAAGCCAAGTTCTTAATTCGACTTTTACAAAAATAAATAAAAGACAAAGCCATAAACTGATTGTAACCATTAATTTCCACGTGATTTTCTTTCCCCCTTTTTTTATTTAATTCGTCGTTACCTCACAAAACTTTACATTCGACCACTGAAAAGATAAGAAAGATCTAATTACAGTATATAAATGATATACTTTATCACATATATTTCGAGATAGGATAACCTTTATAAAAGTTCAGATACCTCTCTTATAAAGGGGAATAAAGTACAAAATACATGCTTTAATATAAAATTTAACTCCAATTCTACTTTATAAAATAAGAAGTAACTAAATCGATTAGCAAGAGAGTACGAGGGAGTTTTTTAAGAGTAGCTCCTCGTATTTTAACCAGTAAAATCGTCATTAAATTTGACCCTGTTCGCGATACGACACACGACTCTCCTCTATCTCCCCTACCCTTTAACCTTTAACCACCAAAATTTAATAGCATCGATCCCCCTAATACGCAAACCTCCTTGCAAAATTTCAGAAATTTTCGACAAACAGCACGGGAGTTATTAAGCTTTAAATTGTATAAAGAAAATCGTGCCCCTCATACACTAACATCCATACATATAGAAAAAAAAACCCGAAATTTTAGCGTGTAAACTACCTTGTACATTAAAACTGATATAACGTAGATCTTTATCAAAAAATTTGAAATTCATTATAAGTTCCATCTTTCATCGCTCCGTGTCAAAATCAATCGAGAGATAAATCGATTGCCGCGCCCGTTCGGCGTATAAAACACAGTAAAATGAGGTTATTTAACGCCAAGTTTAAACTGTAAACAGAAGAAAGGTCGACTGGTTACTCCGTCACCTTGACATAGATGTATCCTTTTTCCATGAACTCTTATCGTTAGACATGGAGTCGGATACGATCTACGTCGTTTCTCAGGTGCCTAATTTAGGTAAACTATTACAAGAAAGATTACCTCATACACGTATCAAGAACATCACCCTACCAGGTGAGAGTTTGAAATTAATTTCGCAAATATTAACGTATCTTTATGAAGTTTTGCCGGGCCTACTACGTTGTAAGTTTCTTTCGCGCTTAACTCACTTAAAGTGCAGTTGTACCGTACGTATTAAAATATAATGTACGACAGTATATAAGTAATAATAAAAAAAACTAAGTGTTAAGTAGGCCAAAGGATAGATTTAAGTTTTACTCGAAAATAGGTTAGGCTAATTCATTTCGTAAATCAGATTAATAGGAAAAAAAAATCTATTTATCACATTTAATTAAGTTTCGAATTAATTTTAAATATTTAATTAAATAATTAATACTGTTACGTCATTAATCATTTAATTTAATATTTGCAAATAGGAAAATTGTTTATATTCGAAATTAATTTTTAACGTAAAACTATAATTTGCAAATCGAAGTTTTAATTAATTTAGAAAAATAAGAAGAAAATTGGATAATTTTGATGATTTTCTTTTCTTTCCCCCTAAATAAAGCGAAATTCGATTGGCATCGAGTGTTAGATCCAAAAATAATTGACCTGGTGAAAGATGCGGAGATTCTCTTCTGTGACAATACTTCGGTGGGGCAGTTGATGTACTCTTTACCCAAACTAAAATGGGTCCAAACAGTGTGGGCAGGTAAGCAAAATTTCTTTAAAAAAAATCAAATTGCTTATATTTTTATCTTCGGACAGACACACAAAATATTTTAAAAAATTGCATACTTTTAATATGGCGTATCGTTATTTATTCACGATTTTTATTGCATTGATTATACTTTGTCCTACTTTAATCTTATCGCAAATTTCATACTAAAATCACAATGGGATAAATACAGACCCGCATTATAATTAATACATAAAAAGTACGATAAGAAATTGTAATACTGTATTGAAAAATATTATTTAAAATGATTAAAAATAATCTATTGTTTTATTGTTATTTATACTAGGTGTGGATTCTATATTCAAGCGTTTGGATCCCGAAAAGGTTTGTCTTCATTTATAATATAACACTAGCGTAATAGAACAAATGTCAAATTTACGTGTAGTTTTTATTAAATCTTTTAAAATAATATTAAGCTACGGAAAGGAGAAAATTAAATTGAATATAGTCTACTGTCCTCCAAAACTTACGGTACAAACAGTTTTTCTGTAAAAAAATTTGACGAAACCAAAGACAAAACGTTAAGAAAATGAGCAAGTATTTATTGTGACGTGGTTACAATGCCGGGCTCCCCTGCCCCTAAGGTTTCCATATCTTGTCTTGAATTTCAATTATCTAATATTGTTCTCGATATTAAGGAAAGACAGACGGACAGACATACGGACGACCGATTTATTAATATGGGAAACAGAAAATTAATGGAAGGGGATTATCGCTGTTTGAGACAGCAAGACGGATAAAACATATATTATTAAAAAATCCTAATGTTGTCCCGTTTTAAAGTTAAGATTGTGAATATTCCAGATGCCCGCGTGCTACAACCCCTTCCGAAAGACCGTTTTGTGGTACTTTCGGCGCAAAACAGGAAGAATACGATAGTGCATCATCGCTTAGCTCGTAGCTGGACATTCTGTAGCAACTGGAAAAATATCTGCTACGAAAATGAAAGGAGATTGTTTGTATTGGGTTACTCTATCACACAGAGAAGTTCCATTATGAACGAGACAGTACGTTACCTCTAGCATACGGTAATGAAATTCAGTACTATTCACAGCTGAATTTGTATTCATTTTACAATCTGATTCGTGTCATATGCTCTGGAGAGAACACGGAACAGCCAATCTAATATTCTTGAACGAGACAATTACACAGGCGGCAGTGTGTCATAATTTGAATAAGGATCTGTTTGGACAGCCATACTGACCTCCATGTTTTTACTAGAGGAACTTTAAATAGCTTACTCAGAGGTATCGGGACAATATCCTTAATCAGTACGTCACACCGTAATCTAGTGAAGGTGGTGATTCTGTTCTTTTAATGGGCGATAACACCTTCTGTATTTGGTCTTAACCTATCACAATGGAGTGTATGGGCTCCTTCTTAATGGTGGCGATGTGTATTAATATTCGCATTTAAGACTGAAATTTAGTGTTGAAGGCTTTTTCAACCAAACATTCATATTGTTCTATAGTTTCTAAAACTCCTTTATCGAAAAAAAACAATAGAACATCATGCACACGTAACTGAAAAAGCCTAGGGATGTACAAAAATTGTTTGTTCCTTATTTAATAAAAACCGGTAGGATATTATTAGTTTTGGAAATAATTAATTGTTTAAATATTTTAAAAATATTTGAGATTTAGCCGTAGTGTATCTCTCGTCTTCCTCAATCAATCAATACCAAAATGGTCTTTTATCCAAACATTTGATATCTTATGTAACCTTTATCGGAGGAAAGGCATCTTTGTAGAAACTCTTAATTACATTTTTATCTGGATAATCTTCCAAGGTCGTTGGAAAGTATTTTTACTGTAAATTATAGAAAAATTTAAATAAAACACGAAATATTTTAAGTTCATCATTGTGGATAACTAAAGAAAAAGTTATTAATTTGTTTACGTGATGTTCGTTTGTGTATCCGTGTGACGTATATTTATTACGGCTGTTCTTTAGCGTAATGTATATGCTATTGTAAAGCCGTAACGTTCTAAATTTTTACTTTCACGGCTCTGTTATATATAAGAAGGAAAGTATGGCCATCGATCAAAAAATGGCCCTACATTTTTGGACTCGAGACACCTCGAAACGTCGAGAAATTTAAAAAAAATCGGGTTTTTTTCTGTATGTATGGATGTTAGTGTGTGTGTATGCATTTTTGTGTGTTGTGGGTGTTTTGTACAGCTATGTCTATGATGTCTGCTCTGTTGTGATGGATTTTATCTGTGTTGTTTCTATGGTCTTCTACGATAGATGTTTGTAGTATGGTCCCGAATGTGTAATAGCTTGTATTTGTGTTTAAGTTTTTTTGATTTATTATGTTTCATATTCGGTTATATCGATGTTCGTAATCTGTATGTACAGTACTAAATGCTTGCAAACTGATATGTGGGCTGTACACGTGAAGGTTTTGGAGTTTAATTGTATGGATATGTTTGCTTAAAGTGTTGATTTTGGTTAATCAGATAAGAAAAATTTTCTCCAGTTGTTTTCACGTATAGGCCTATATTTTGTGGTTCTCTGTGTTGGGTCTAATCCAGTGTATTTCGCGAGTGTTTCTCGAAATAAATTTGAGTGTTAATTAGTTGTGTGCTTATAGAAGCTCTGTTAGGTTGTGTTTCTGTATTAGTGCATAGGATTTCCACCATCCCCCCACCATCCCTCCCATCTCGAACCCGATAAGCATAACCAAATGTAGAATTTAATCATGACACGCGCGTGTGTAAATGAACTGTAACAACATTGTTACAGTTCATTTACAGTTCATATTGTAGGGCGTTTCCACCCCAATCTCGATAAACAATAGAGTCGTGCCGGTCATCTATCTAATACCTTTCGGATGAAAATTTTTGAATTGAAACAACATGACTACCGGTTGGCATTGGAAGTTTGTATATAATTAATCGGAGCCTCCTGCTCCTAAGGTTTCTATATCTGGTCTCGGATTTCATCTATCTAATTTCGTTCTCGAGATTAAGAAAAGACAATGGGAATTTATAGGTGTATTTGTCAAGAAGTATCCGTCTGCATGCTGACATGTCTGTTTTAAGTTTTTTAATGGTATAGTAAGTAGGGACGGTGGCGGATTTCCCGTTAGATCCGACTAGGCCCATAATAATCGATATTAATTTACTATTTATCTTGCTTAAAATATTAATATATCATTTTATGATAATTACAGCCTTTACCTGTCTTTACTCTAACGAGATACGGCGACAGTAGATTTGGTGATTCCATGGCCGAATATTTTCTAGCCCAGGTCATTAATAACGAACGATCTATGTACAAAATGTGGGATAATCAAAAGATAAGTAAATGGTAAATAAATATAGAAAAAAGTATTAATAAATTTGAAAATTACACTAAAAATTATCTACATAAATATTAATTTTTAAATTAAAAAACAATAGAATTAAGTATTTTAACCGCAACAAACTGTAAAACGTCATTTTCAAGTAATGCTTACACTAGAAAATTAGTCTTACCGTATTGATTACATTACAGTAAAACAAAACCATACAATAGCATTACAACACGAAAAGCTTTCGAATATAAAATCCTACGTGATGATTCATACGCTTATTTAAAACAAAAACAAACATTTCAGGAGAACAGAAGTGTTCCTGAATTGTCGAACAGTTTCCGAATTGATTATAGGAATAATGGGAATCGGCGTTTTGGGAGGTCAAAGTGAGTAGAAAAGAGATTGAAAAACCCTTTTATAGCTATTTTGTATTAGTGAAAAGTGAGAATTTTTTCATCTTAAGTCGCAAAGGCTGTTAAAGAAAGAGGAGCTACCGTTTACGGATTGGTTAGAAAAATAAGGAAGAATTCCGATACGAAATATTGCGATAAGTCAGTAAATTTTCTTACAATTAAACCTTATTTTACTACATTGATTTAAAATAATAGACGAAATAATTGAATATTTCAGAATTTTTACGAATTTGAACGAATTTCTGAAAGACTGCGATTACGTCTGTAGCGTGTTGCCAAGCACGCATCTTACCAGGGGTCTTCTAAACGGAAATGCATTAGAAAGCTGTGAAAAGGTAGGTCGTTTATAACATCCCTGCACCCCCCCGAACATTTTTATCCACACATCCGATTTATTGACAGAAGCCGGTGTTTGTTAGCATGGGCAGAGGAGACGTCATCGACGAGGAAGATTTACTCCACGCCATTGAGTATTGTCAGCTTTTCTTTACCCCCCTCCCCAATTTTCTAAGTATAAAACCGACTTTTTAATATGTCTTAAAATAAACAATCGATAAACGTTTTTCGTAGAAAAAACTGGATACGTAAGGCCATTTTAGACGTGTTCAAAGAAGAGCCCTTACCAGCCGACAGCGTTTTGTGGAGCCACCCGAAAGTAAGTTTAAATATAGAAAAAGACATATGGAAATTGTTTAAACGAACGAGCATTTTCTGAATAGCAAATGCGGGTATGTTAGCGCGAATGAAATAAGTTATACATTTTTCACGTCTTTTAACAAACGAAACCAAACCAAATATGAAGTTTAAATATTATTTTAGTAGTGTAAATAAACATTGTTATTGATCAATGTCACTTTAGAACAGTCGAAGTAATCCTCTCGCCATCTGTTGTTCGATTATTACACTAGTTTTTATCAGTTTACACCTGAATAATTAGTCATTTTAAATATATTTCCTCCAAAAATATAATTTATTTTTAGATTATCGTCACACCTCACATAGGAGGATCGACGAATACTTCAAAGGTAAACTTTTATGCCGTTTTATAGTTTTGTTATTTGTTCGTACAATGTTTTTACTTTCAGATAATAGAATGCTTTATGGAAAATTATAAAAGATTTCGTTCGGGGAGAGAATTACTGAATCGTGTCGACTGGAACGAAGGATATTAAAACTGGCGTGGATCTTTTTAATTCGCTAATTTGAAATATACGAGAAGGACACACTTTAACGAGATAGAAATAGCTGTTTTTACAGGTTATTCTGCAAGCCGATTTAGAAAAATTGGACAAGGAGCTTACATCTTTGAAAAGTGTGCCTGTTACGGTACAGAACGTCAACTATATCCTCTTTCGGTCGTAGAATTTGTCTCGACACTCAATTTGATATAACATTTCGACGTCCATCTATAATTTACCTCAATTCTATTGTTTATAATAATAATAATGAGATTAAAATGCTGTATAAAAGAGTGTAATAACGAATAAAATCTTGGTAAGTCCTACTCCTCTCGAGATACACGATCTCCCTCTATCTCCCTGTCCTCTCGACCTTACACCACCGAAATTTAATAGCATCAATGCCCTCATATACAAGCTACCACGTCAAATTTTCTTTAGCAAATTTTCAGGATGCGTGTAATTTGTAACAACTTACACCTATACAATATACACAACACCGGAGGAGTCGAACCGTTTTGCCAAGCAGAAAATTCCATGTATTAAAATTGCTTACTATAAAGTTAAGACAAGTTTCTCATATTTTAAGATTCTTCGACCAGATAGGAGTTCTTTGACAGAACTAAACCTGGATATAGGGGAGATCGGGGCAACTTCGGCATGCGGGGCAAGTTTGTCAAGCGCTTTTTTTAAAAAACAAATTAAAAGGAGACTTTGGTTATAGGTTAGGGAGTTGAGTTTTATTGGTGGCTTGTTGAGTGTAGTGTTTTTATTGTTCTCCAACAAGCGTAGTTGAATTATCAAGCAAATTTTCATTTTCGTTCAATTCCATATAATATTTTTTTTTTCCATTTATATTGAATTGGCAGGTTTTGTTATAATTCCATGATAACGAAAGTTACTTTTCCTGTTAGAAGGATGTAACTTCAACTTATTCACGTGGCCAGATCGTGGCTTGGCATTCTGTTCTCAGGGTTGTACTTAATGTTTCGAAATCATGACTAGCGGGGTAAGATCGGCAACATAAAGCCACATTAGAAGCAAAGGATAAAAATCAAACAGATGATAAATGAAAACATGTTTGCATTTGTTATTCATGTATATATGTCTTTGAACTTGCATTTCGTTGTAATAATATTAAATGGGTGTTGGATTTGTATTTCTTTGTTTTAATAGTGAATTCCAACTTATACATTGTTAATAACATAATTTTATATACGTGCCTATCTTGCCCCATTACTGTTGCCCCTATACCAGGGGCAACTTTAATAAAAATAATTAAAATAATTACAACTTTACAAAAAGAGAGAAGTTGCCGATCTTGCCCCTATACCCGGGGCAACTTCGTCAATTTCTCTCTTCTTGTAAAGTTGTAATTATTTTAATTATTTTTATTTCCAAACTGATTTTAACCAGTTCTATAGTAAGGTAACATTCCAATAGACAATATGCAAAGCTTTTTTTTCAGTTTACAGCAGTATTTATTACACAAAATTTAAGTAAAGCTTAACATGCCGATCTTGCCCCGATCTCCCCTACACTTACAAATGAACTTCAACACATCTGGTATTGCAGCGAATCGATGTTTGTGCCTGGTCTATTAACAATCCTGACCATTATAAAGTTTAGTAAATGTAAAGTTTAGCTTTAGAATTAAAAATTTGATATCTTTTAAAATTAAAGTGTTTTTATGAAGATGTTATCATGAAATATCGAAGGTGCTTTTAGCCACAAAGTTATAATTATCGCCATTACGCCTATAACTATAGTTTGACAGTTGAATATTTCATAAGTAGTTTATGCAATCAAATTGATGCATTACTGCATAATCAGTATCATGTACTATGTAACATACTACCGTTAATTATAACGTGGCACCGCTCGTAAAAAAAAAAGTAAAAATACAGGAGATGCTGCGAAAATGATCGATGTATTAAAAACTTTCATCTTTTGATAGCTTAAAAGGTATGATAAACGTTAGATCCACGCTGTATAAGTTTATATTTATGTAAAATATTGATTGATTATAATGAATCAGGTTAAATCGAGTAAGGTAACAATGTTTTCATTAGTTAAACAATCCAGCAAAGAGTTGCTTAATTTTCCTGGCAACATTTAAAATTTTGATAGATCTATCTATTATAATATTTTTAATTATTATAAAATTACAAAAAAAAACTTAAATTTGAGGGTATAAACGGGTTTTATAAAATCTATAAATGGTAATAACGAGGAAAATCGGCATTAAGTCCGATCCTATTGGAGATACGATACTCGACCCCCCTCTATCTTTCCACCCCGTCGACCTTTAACCACCAAAATTTAATAGCAACAATGTTCATAATACACGAATCTCCATACAAAATTTCAGAAATTTTCGACAAAAATCACGGGCATCATTAAACTTCAAAGAGAGTGAAGAAAATCGTGTCCCTACATACACTAACATCCGTATATACAGAAGAAACCCCCCGAATTTTTCGCATTTCTCGACGTTTCGAAGTACAAAAATGTAAAAATCTTAGTAGATCATTTGATCGGTGGTTATACTTTCCCTCTTACGTATAACAGAGTCGAAAAAATAAAAATATTTTATAGTTAGTTAGACCAGAATTCGTTTACTAAATAACAAAAGTCGTCGGCATTTTTAGTAAATTTTTTGTTTTAGACTTAAAAGATACAGACTATTCTAAATTAGATCCCATCTTGGCTAGACAAAAACCAATTAGATTTCAATAAAGAAAAAAAAAAGAAACTCGCCATTATTTCAGATTTATTATAGGAAAATAGAAAAAAAGGCTATAAAAATAAAACACATTCATCTGCTTCTCGGATCAAGAAAAAAAAAAAAAAACACTTCGCAGAATCGACTGGAACAAAATGGCAAATTGTGTGAATCTAAGTAAGCCCCGGTTTAAACGATGATAAATTTCTACGGTAGAAAAAATTAATAAATTTAATCAGGACATTTATTTCTTATAAGAGATAATGTAAAAAAAAACAGTAGACAAATCTATTCGTTAATATATTAAATGTTCAATTTGTATTCAAGAAATAAAAAATGGCAGGATGTCAGACGTCACTGTTAATACAACAATGGCCTGCGATAAACATACGCGCCATCTACTTTCAAAATAAGAAATAAATACTAAAAAAAATTCAAATATTTTAGTACAAATGTCTAACAAAAATAATTCAATTATAAATTTTTAAAAAAGAGTTAATTCATAAGCAGTAAAATGACAGAAAAAAAATGTCAAAATAAGCTCAACCTCGCTATTATATTCAAATGTAAAACGAGCTTGTATTATACTAAGGAAATATTAATAAATTTATATTTTAATTAAGGAATTTCAAAAAAATGTAGTGTACTGTACATAAATAAGTACATTAGAGAATAGCGTAAAGATTAATACTGTTTAAAATTAGGAGCGATAATTCATTGCGACTATTCAATTTTTATTTAGAATGTCGGAATTAGAAATAATGGTTTAAAAAAAATATATATATGTAATAAAAAATAACAGTTAGAGATATTGTTTCAGTACAGTCGATGATACTGTAACAGTAGCTAGGGAAAATAATTTAGGAAGGATGAAACAGGAAGCCGAACGATTAAGAAAATTGATAAAAATTGCTTCCGACTATTAATTTAAAAGAATCATTAAATAAGTAACGTATGATTGGCTGAAAGATGTTTTTGTGAACTTGTCTACTCGACAATATTTATTTTGTTAGGCCACATACGGATTTATATACAATTTTGTCTTTTATAACTAAAAAAAAAAAGAAAAAACACATTACCGTTTTGACTAAAGAAAAATTTTAAAGTAAAATAAACAACCCATTTATGTTTTTTTTGCATTTACTTAAATTTTAAATTTATTTAACTTATAAAATTCAAAAATAATAATAATAATAATTCATTTGTTAATACAGAAATTCCTTTAATTGAAGAAAAAGAATGAAATATTACACGATGATTATAACTTACAGAAAAATCCTTTTGTAAATGACTTTCTAATGAGTCTGCTTCTCGAATTTATGTTTTTCTCTTATTAGCTTTGCCAATTATTTTCTTACAATGCTCGATAAAACTCTGCCATGCGCATAAATTGTTTTCTGGAAAATATAATTGAGGCCGAGAAAAGATATATTAAAAAATAAAAGTGTCGACTTTTCGTCTTTTTGACCAAAAATGTCAAAATACATTTCGTTATTTAACTAAAAAGTATTTTGACATTTTTGGCTGCTGTTTTCTGGATTATAAAGCTAGACAGTTGCTTTATACTTTTGCGGAGTTTGGCGAATTTTGGTTAGACTATGGTAAAGTAATCCGAGTTCAAAGAAAAGAAAAAAAAAAAAAAAAAAAACAGATCTACGTCCCTCATCCCCACTATATGGAACCACGTTCCATGGCCTTTGCTGTAACTGCATGCCCGGATTTTGTGCCGATTTCAACCAATTGTTCTTTCCTTTCGTCCATATGTCAGCAGTTACGCTCAACTCCTTCCTCTCATCGCAAATTTTAAATTTCTATCAAACTATTTAAGGTATATGTTTTTTAGCCGTGTCAAGCGACTCACCGACGTTATGATTGAGAGACAGTTCCATCAGTCCAAGATAATGATAATACAGTAGAGTCTCGATTATCCGACTCAATTGGGGACTGGGGTTGGTCGGATAATTGAAAAGTCGGATAACCGAAAAGTATGAAAAAATCAATTATTAGTGTAGTATATTATTATATCTCACGTAATTAGTATATTAGTATATTAGTATATCGCTATTCACCTACTTCGCGTTGAATTTTCATCGATGTTAAGCCTAACAAAAATTTTTTTAAATAATAATCGTCGCTATTGTATCGTTAAAAATTATAAAATTAAGCCTGGTTTAAATACTGGCTCCCTTTCATGGTCGAATGAGTGTTGCCAGCTAAAACACGTAAAAATAATATTAAAGTAGCCAAGACATAGCCAAATATTGTAGCGCCACATCACTAGCGGACATTTGAAATTTGCCGACTAGGACGGTCGGTTAACCGAGGTGTCGGTTAATCTGGGGTCGCATAATCAAGGCTCTACTGTACAGAAGAGCATCGATTATCCGACTCAATTGGGGACTCGGGTTGGTCGGATAACTGAAAAAATCGGATAACCGAAAAAATGAAAAAATACATTATTAATATAGTGTATTATTATATCCCATGTAATTAGTATATTAGTATATCGCTATTAACCAACTTCGCGTTGAATTTTCATCGATGTTAAGCCTAACAATTTTTTTTTTTTTTTAATAATAATCGTTGCTATTGTATCGTTAAAAATTATTTGTAAATTATTTTATTGCTCACAAAACAAACAACCATTCATAATTAGAAAATTAAGTCTCGTTTAAATACTGGCTTCCCTTCAATGGTCGAGCCATGTTGCCAACTGAACCACGCAAAATTTTAACAAAAATAATATTAAAGTAGCCAAGACAGACAAATATTGTAGTGCCACATCACTAGCGGACATTTGAAATTTGCCGACTAGAACGGTCGGTTAACCGATGTGACGGTTAATCGGGGGTCTGATAATCAATGCTCTACTGTAATAATATTATTATTAACCCAAGATTATTAAAAAAACCCAAGATAATAATAATAATATTATTGGCCTCTTTGTGCTTTCTGAGCGGTAAGGGGCCTAAAACTTTATAATAATTTTATTATAATTTATTTTAAAGTTAAGGATAATGATATTCCGGGAATACTAACTTTTGCGTGTTTTTCTTTCTCATTGTAAGCCTAACCTATCCAGAGAAAGTGAGGTGGATTGAGGCAGCTTTGAAATTTTGAAAATCTTTGATCTAAGAACCATTAAAGATATTAAATTCCATGATGATTTTAAACCAATTTTCATGGAAGAAGGAGTTCATACTTATACCAAAAGCAAGTTAAAAACATGAAGACCACTAAGAAAGGGGCTAATTTTAGGGATCAAATGCTACACACTCTAGAAATTGAAGACTTTTTATAAACAGTATTACAGCTATCAATACACCCACACCAATATTGATGGTACACATGTAGTTACAAAGAAAGTGTAAGGTACCAGTATGATTAATGTGAGGAAGTTCCTTGTTGCTGAAGGCTAAACTCTGCCTTAGTGAAATAATGATTATTACGTCGATACTTTTATCTGTGCCAATCATTAATGAGATGATGATAAACATGTGGTTAGGGTAGTATTTCCATCTCCCGCAATCAGGCACTAGTATGCCATAAATGTGTGATTATAGAAGTGGAGATCATAATTATGTGCTCAATGTGATATTTATTTTTTTTTTGTTTTAGTTTAACCAGTGCAACTGTTCCATCTGGGAGTTCCCGCAATGGATCAATGACCAATCACCCAATTTATTATTCCTGTTTAATAAGTTCATTGTGATCTTGGATTGTGCTTTCATTCAATAATGATACTGTAGCAGGCTAACAGATTAATGGCAATTTTTTGTGTTTATAGGTTGAAACATTCAAGATGTCTTGATCTACCAAGATTTTCCAGACCGATTTTGTAGAGTTCAAAGACCTTGTCAAGCAGCCCTCGTTTGTTGATCACACAAAGCTTGTTGAAACGTTGATGTTAGATGGAGAGCGACGGAAGTTCATAGCTGCCCCCTCTCATTTCTGCAAGACTGCATCCTTTGTATGATCAAGGCCTTTTTTGAAATTGAGGTAAATAACAATGGGATTCTTCTGCTGGAAAGTCTGTGAAAACAAATGCCGGGATGCAAGGATTGTGTGGAACAACCAGCAGGGAGGAAGGAGCTTCAGAATTTGAAAAACTACGGACTCTTTGCTAAGTGTGAAATCATGGCCAGCTCTACATTTGTAGAAGAGCATCTTTGAAGATATCCTGTGGTTCATTTAGATTTCAAGACAAGCAGAGTTAGATCACATGAGGATGCACTGAGCCACGCCAAAAGAGTGATTCACAAGACTTTTTGTGAACATAGGTATTTAAACCCTGTCAAAATCGATGATGATGATGATACGTGGAATAAGTCAGCACAACAATTCTGTGAAAAGTGGTGTGATGTAGTCAGTTATGAGGGTCTTAACCCAGAGAAGGGTTTGAAAAGTCTCTGCAAATATTTGCATTTGTAATTTGGAAGGAAAGTAGTGGTGCTCATCGATGAGCACGACTCCATTATTAATGCAGCCCTGAAAGGGGTGGATGCATCAAAAAGTCAAGAGTTGAGTGACAGTTGGTCTGATGATGCAGATCCTTCTTCAGGTTGTGAGGCCACCTATAGGTGAGTATCCTATTCAACGAGTTCTGATCACTGGTATCTCTATGACTTCAGGCATTACAGTGATTGCTGCCTCAGACAAACCAGAGAGTTGCAGATTTACAGAAAAAGAACTTGTTCCATATTATGGAATAACTAAGGACCAGTTGAAGAGCTTGGTGTCAAAGCTGGAAGAAAATGGGCATCTTGGCAAGTTTAAGAAACCAACTGGCAAAAAAGTGACATTGTCTAAGAGGCAGAAAGTAGCAGCCGAGCCAAATAAAAATGATCATCTTCATACAAAATAATTTGTACATAAAATATTTTAGTTTATTTTTTGTGAATTACCAAATTTTTTCATGGTCGTTTTCATCATTTACAGTAGCCAATTCCTAAATAATTTTCACAAATAAAAATTCAAAACAATAAGAATATGTTAAAAATTTATATAAATGATTTTTCTTATAAGCATTTAACTATATAAATATACATGCAATTTAACTTTATTATACAATAGTAAATTTTGAATTTCGTACAAAACAAAATATTATATTTTTTTGACATTCATATTATATAAAATAGTTTCGATATCATTGTTTTTATATACATTTGTTGCATAGGCTTGACCTACATACAAAAATTATTAACGTGTATTTCACTTATGCGAAGATAAAGAAAAACCTAAACTACTTTTTTGATGCGTTGTTTGCTTATTAATATTTTTAATTAATACTTAAAAAACGATTGTATAAGTTTTTATAACTATAAGAACACAAAAATNATGTTTCTTATAACTATAAGAAAAGCAAAATAATTTTATGAGTAATAAAATATACTGCATAATAATTTTACTGAAGGAAAACTTGCATCATTATATAACTATTGTTTCTTTTAAGAAAAGAACAAGCTAAAAGGTCCTCGAGGAACGTGCTACCATACTCGAGATATGACACACGACCTTTAACCACAAAAATCGAATAGCATCAATCCCCTTATAAACAATCCTCCCTGCAAAATTTCAGAAATTTTCCATAAACGTATAACATTAATATGTTTTAAAAAGTTACATATGTTTTATAAATATTTACAAATGTAATAAAATGTACTGTACATAATTTTATCTGAAACTTGACAACATTTGCTTTTAGTCATATGAAACTATTTTCTAATACAGTACAATTAAACCTCAATTTATAGCCTCCAATTGTTCTCTACAGAGGCTGGTGCTAAATTGGTAGACCTCAAACAACGAGAGTTATATGTATTAATAGGATATAAACACAAATTTTTGCTTGATTATGCAAAATTAACTTAATTAGGCTGAAATTTGAAAAATTGTAGACCTATGAATTTGCACTGTCTGTCCTTCCTTAATCTCAAGAACGGAGACAGATGAAAGCCGAGGTTAGATATTGAAATGTTATACTAGTAGGCCTCGATTAACTTTATAAGAACTTCCAGTCTACACCAGAAGCCACGTGGATTTAGTTCAAAAATTTCCCCTGAAAGGAGTTAGATAAATGGCACGACTCTAAGAGGATAAATATTATGTAGGTTTTACAGGGAAAACACCACTAAAATCGAGATCATTGTGAAGATGTCACAATAAATAATTGACTGCTCGTATTCTAATTAAAATTGCAATGAGATTGATTTAATTGCATATACTTCATGTCAGCATATTAATTATGAATTATTTTATATAATTAACTGGTTATATTTATTTGTTGAGCATGTAAACATTGTTATGACATTTGTTTTGGATGTTTGTTTCTATACATCTGCAGACACAGGATTACAATTTTTCCCTGGGCTAATTCCAGACTACTGCGGTAACTTTTTCACTTTGGTGTCTGATTTTAAAAAAACTGCCACGTTAAATTTTGATGATTTTAGTGTTAGAAAAGTTCTTTTCACTCGAGTTTATCGATCAAACGGGGCGGAGATATAACCTATTATATCCGGTTCCTCTTATGATCCTTGTTAAAAACCAAAAGAATTTTTATAACCTAATTAACGAAATTATATCCAAATAGCAAATCGATAAATTAATTTTTTTCCTAAAAGATCTCAGTCGATTATTTGTATCTTTGAATAATCTAGAAAGGAAAATCAAGCTTACCAAAAAAAATTTAATTTCCTTATCTCCAATTGGCTCTTTTCTTTCCCTGCGTACTGTGACGTACTTATGGGGGTGATGCGGGTGTTGGATCCCTCGCCGGAGGCTTTAAGAATAAAATTTAAATTAAAAATACTTCGTCTTAAATAATTCAATATCAATCATTTCATTTTTTTTTAATAGTAAAAACACGAATACTCTGTTATCAATCGCTTAATTATACTACGTGATCGCGCTGCATTGTTCTAGAATAGGGATCTCAAACGCATAGAGCCATTCAAATAGATGCGGGCGTTCTATTCGTTATTCGTTATTACCAGTCGACCCCCTTATAGCACTGTTGATTATTCCGTTTTATATGAATTCCATGTTGTACGAGTCACTTAGATTTTACATATACGTGTTCCGGGCTGTGGATGGCTCAGGTATTTGTAAAATCTAAGTGACTCGTACAACATGGAATTCATATAAAACGGAATAATCAACAGTGTTATAGGGGGGTCGACTTGTATTCGGTAAATCAAATCATACTTTAAACTAAAAATAAGTCGTAAAGGCCCTTTTGTGGCCGGGCCTTTACGAATTTTTTGTTTTAATCCCCTCAAGATGTTAGAAACGTTGATTTTTTTTTAGAAATTGAGGCACGGGCCCGATACCAAGCCTTTAAGGGCCGTATCGGGCCCGCGGGCCTCCGGTTTGCCACCCGTTCTTGAATAGAGTTTGTTCTCCAAGTTTCCTTCTAGATGCATGGGGAATATTCTAGAACATTTGTCTGCCTGATTTTTCTTTCTTTCGACTGTACTTTTTAGATCGGCAACATTTTAGTTATAACTCCTCGATATAACGCCGTTTCACTTCATTTATGTGCTTTTTCCCCCCTATTCTTAATTTGGATATTTAGCATGTCAGGAGCCATAGACGATAAAATTGGATAGAAATTATTCTGAAAAACAAATTTAATAAGAAATATTTGGAAGAAAAATCGATATTTTTCTTAAAATTTAAATATTTTAACACTTGAAAATGTCATCGATTAGCCGTTGTTGCCTTTGTTAAATATTCACTCGGCTATCGATTTAACATTTTTATGTATTTATAATAAAATAAAATAGAAAAAAGTATTCAATATCTATAAAAAAACATCTTTTGATACAAATTCTGTACAAATCGTTGAAGCTTTTCGTTATAAATTACCTTCTATTGTAATTTATTCGAGTCTTTAGTGAAGCAGACGATATTCGATCGTGTACCCTCTGGTGAGAAAAAATGGCGTTTGGTAATATTATTAAATTAAAAAAAAAATTATAAACAATGGAATATAATGCCATTATCATTATTAAAATTTCAAANTTATTTAACTTATAAAATTCAAAAATAATAATAATGATTTACGTAATAAAGTGCTTCCATCTGCTGACGATAAAGTGAACTTTAATTTCTTAAACGACAATGATAATAAATTACTAATCCATAACAATTCTTTTTCTGAATACAGAATTTAATTACCTACGCTTATTGTGATCAATATACGATTATCGATTCACATTTTGAAAGAAATTTTCTAATCCATTTTCGCCTTCGCGCGTGAAAGGTCACCCCGCCGATAATATAATAAAAAACATTTAAGATGACCTTTAATGATCGGGACTCCTTGACGAGTCGAAATATAACGGAAAAATGTCGCGAGCCATTCCGTCTATCACCACCAATAATAATCGGTCCTTTGAATTTTCTTCCCTCAGATAAGCACGTGATCCGATATGACCTTTCGAGTAAATACAGTCAACTCCCCTATAACGCTGTTGATAATTCCGTTTTATATGAATTCCATGTTGTACGAATCACTTAGATTTTACAAATACGTATGCCGGGCTGTGAACGACTCGCTTATTTGTAAAATCTAAGTGACTCGTACAACATGGAATTCATATAAAACGGAATTATCAACAGTGTTATAGGGGGGTCGACTGTATTACACCCGATAGATTTCATTTATGCCTATTCATATCCATAATATCCGCTTGAATAGATGAAAGTAGTATTCCTCCTTCAACTAGGATGCGGATCAACCAATTCGCCGCTAATGGTAAACTACCCATTTAGATCTCCTCTACGTATTAATTAGACACGACGTTGTTAAGGCTCCGGTTTGGACCAAAAAAAGGCTGTACTAAAGGATTCTAGGCATGCTAATATATAGATTTAGCCATAAAGAATCCGGACTGAAATCTTATCCAGACTTTCGTGATTTTCGCCGAACAGTTGTGATTGGAATATTGGTTTCTTTGAGAAAGATCACCGAGAATGGACAAAAATTACTTAGCCTATAAGCTATTCTATCGTGGTAGCAATCGCCATTATCCTATAGCATTATTAATCTTTCATAAAACTATCCTTTTAAAGAAAAACCTTTGGGGGAGGTTTTCTATATTCCTCCTCCACATATCAGTGTTACGTCCTGGCAAAGAAATGGGCACTCAAAGAGGAGTAGACGCTGCAATTCAGTACATCTTTTCGATCATTTTAGGAATTCTTTTTGTTATTTACACAATCATCTTTATTCGTGAAGTCTACGATAATAAATGAAAAGTTTTCTCGATGAATACGTTAGCGAAATCTCTCTAAATTCTACAGCGGAATGTATAAACGCAGTGAAAAGATTCGAATGGAAAACACGAGGGCAAATAATCAGGTGGTTTGATAATGCCAAAGAATGGAATAATCCCGCTTTTTCTGCACCAGCAAGACCGACTGAAAACTCGAGTTTACTGGCATAAAATAGCAATCGATCTATTGTATTGGGGCGCTACTTTGTACAGTACTGTTGTAGGATATCAAACGCGTAAATATGCAAATTACGCTGGTCAAGAGGAGTAAAATAATTAATTAAACATCCATTTAATTCCATTTTGTTTACACTAATTACTAGAAATTTCTCGTAATTTTAATTGATCCACATAAAACAAAACGAAAAATTGTTACTCAGCGCGTTGGAACTTCGGCGTAATTTATCTTAATTTGTGAGAATCTTTAAGCTGGAAGCTACAGTTTATTTCCGATCTTTATTTATTGACGAAAAAAGGCACTCGTCGGCCGAATTACATTGAACAACGCCCTTTGTTGGCGGAAGACCAATTCGATTTTATGGATTTCTTTGGCGGTTTCTCCGAATCCGCTGCATTTTCTTGTGTACAAAACAAACGTCGATAAAATGTTACTTAATTATAATGCTGTATAAAAAGTAAAATAATCCTTATATAATACTGGTAGAGGTACAGTACTTCAGGAAAGAGTACGATCAGTAGATAATGCCTCAATCTCATCGGTCAGAAGGGGGGTCCTTTTCGGGCGGGGATTGATATTTGTCGATGAAAAGTTTGGTTTGGTTTGATGCGATACGGCAAACGCAACACGTGGATGCCTCTGGGGAGAATGTTCTATTATAAACTGGTTCCTATTTAGGTGTTGCACGCGTGAAGAAAAGTCGGAATACTCCGTGTCTTTTGTATAATTTATTGGGCTCAATAAATTAAAAATAATTCTTGTAAAGTCGCCTTGTTTCTTACGTACACGAAAACAAAGTTTTTACTAAATTAAATACACGGCATTTTGTCCCAGATTCGTCCAAGAAAATTACATTTAAAAAAATTCCTTATTACAACGGCGAACGATAATTCACGAATCTTGTATTTAAAAAAAAACAATCTTTTTTAATTATAAAACTATTATATTCTTTATAAATTACTTGTTAAAAATCACGATAAACACGGAGACCGTCGTTGGACGTCACGGATTGCTCTGTACGCACATTAATTTCCGTACTTTTTGAAAGATCACGCACATTTAGAGTAAACTCATTAATTTCCAACGTTAACTTTCGAACTTAAGTAAAAAAATCAAGTAAACCGTTAGGCATTTGTGGTCAATCTGCAAGTATTCTGCAACAGTAAACAGAAGTGGTGGAGACTGGCGATTGAAGAATTCGATCACTTTGAATGGAAAAAATCGTCAAACTCCTCCACATATCGACGATGATCTTGCGGTAAAAAACAGAAAAAACAAACTGAAAATAATCTAGAAAGATTCTTTTTTTTTGTTTTGGAGGGGGTCGAAGTATTTCTTTAAGAAAAGAATCGCGCGTAAGACCTTTCCTGTATAACTTTCTATGACTGATCTCCTCCAAATGTCCAGTTCTATTCTGGATTTTATAGAATAATTAGCATAAATAAATGGGTGATTCTTGGTAGAATCCAAACGGAATATCAATGAAATGTAGAAATATGTTCTATCTCGAAATTTGTTGTAGTGTTGTGGATGAAAGAATCAACGTTATGTATTCTGTTTCTCGAAATGAAGCTGAAAAACAGTTGGAGAAGAAGGAAACTTACGAGTTTCCGTCGATAAATGTACACAATTCAACGTTTGTGTACGTTTATTGAACATTTTCTCGGCTGAAATAAGGTGTTGGAATAGTGCCGAGGGTGGATTTACGGTTGTGAAACCCGAAAGTTCTTTTGTACAAATGAAATTTTCAATTTCTTCTTTCTCAAATTTAACATTTAAATGATAATTTCATAAGGTACTATTTCGTTATATTTTACTAACTTTGGGCTCTTAAATGCTCGTATCTACATTCAATTCTTGTAGGATTTATAGAAATTGCAAAGAATTCTGCGCGGTTTCTATGAATAATTACGTCTGATCGTAAGCTATAAATAACATTGCGTATCACGAACTAGTTGCATCCTACCAGTGGCTGAGTGGACCCCATATCAGTTCATAGTGGAGGTGACCAGACCCTAAACACTAGGAAATTCGGTTGTGGGTTCGCGCCTCGATCGGACAGGCTGGCAGTTTGAATATTTCCGGGTTTTCTCTTTGCAGATGACGCCTAAATAGGGGCCAACTTCCTATAAAAGTCCTCCCGGGAGGGATGCTATACACCACCTTCCGGCCGTCTTCTATAAGTCTAGCTCTTGCGGTCTACTTCCTATCTCTTCTTCCCTTCAGAGTACAAGGGAATAGCAATACACTCCTCTGTACCAAGGAAAGGAACTAGTTGTGTGAAACTACGAGAGATCATTAGAGTTCAAGTTTACTTTTACGTGCTTAACGGGTCCCTTTTTTGAGAGATTTCAATAGTTCAGAAAATACTCTTTACGTTTACAATCTCCAAGCAATTTCTAGGCATAAAAGGAATTATTTCGTTAGTAGAAACGTTCCCTAAAACACGATATATCATAGGAATAGAATAGAAATTGGTCCATTTTCGTTCGGATCGTAGATAATTCTGTCTTACCCATTTCTTTCCACAGAATTTGTACAGCCTGTCGGGAGCTAATATTGCCATTACGTGGTCAACGGAGTAGCCACGTCGATAGAAAACAATCGAAACGATCTCACAATTGGTTTTTAAAATAAAAAAACACTATCGGACGGGATGCGAAACGGCTTTCGGTGAAAAATGACACGGCAGAAATGAAAGAAAAGTGAAGAAAGACAACTTGATAAAGTCGTTTCCAAGCTGTAAAAACGTTTTCGAACTGACTACAATTTTAAAGAAAACTCTCTAAAATAAAAAGATGAAATGTATTTTATTTTGTTTTGCAATGTTTCCAAACTTCGATCACATAAAAAAAGAATTATAGAAAACTTAGTAAAATGACTACAATTTAATACTCGAAAATTTGTAAATTCCTCTTTTAAATTAAAGAAAATTTCAGATTCGCAATTCGCTACACGAAATTAATTAAATAAATATATTTTGACGGGCAGAAATTAACTTTTTGGTGGGAAATCACGATGGTATGATTACTGTTAGTGGACACAGGGCAGAAAAAAAACTGCAAATGTATATCAAACGAAGGAATTAGTGCCCGTGGAAAAGATTTTTCAACAGAAAAAGTAATGTATTTAGATTTTATGCTCTTTACATTGGCAATAACATGTAAATTATAAGATTCGACTTATCGAGCCCATTATCTTCTTCAACGTCTAAATAGGGGCAAGTTTCCATAAAAGGTATGTCGGGAAGCATTCCTACTCGGAGGATCGCCCGAGTGTCGAGTTGCCGTATACAAATAAAACCAATAGAACCCACCGGTGGCCGAGTGGATAAAATCACCAAATAATGGTGGCGGGTTCGCGCCCTACCAACAGGCCAACTATGTGGTGTTTCTGGGTTTTCTTCTCCTGTCTAACATCTAAATAGCGGTCAGTTTCCCCTAGAAAGTCCTTTTGGGAGGCACCCTCTTGGAAAATCACCCACG